ATATATAAGAATCAGTGTACACCTCTGCGGAGCAGTACACACCTCTAAGGATCAGTGTACAGCTCTACGGATTTGTGCACATCTCTAAGGATCAGTGTACACCTCTGCGGATCAGTGCATACCTCTAAGGATCAGTGTACACCTCTGCGGATCAGTGCACACCTCTAAGGATCAGTGCACACCTCTACGGATCAGTGCACATCTCGAAGGATCAATGTACACCTCTGCGGATCAGTTATAGAAGTTATAGACGTATTTAAGTGGTTATTTGTGAGTTTGTGAGTTTCAATTACTAGTAGAAGTTGTTTTTTCGTTGTGTTTGTAGAGAGTGATTTGTAAAATGAGTTTTATTATTTTGTGTACGGGAGGGTCGTGACAGTTAGTTAATGGAGTTGAGGTTTACGTTAGAAATAATGTGAAAAACTATGGTTTAAATCTTCCTCCTAACATTGACCATGAAATGTTATTACAAATGGTTAGAAGTAAGGCGGGTGTGTTAAATAGTCATATATGTTTGTCTTTTAAACACCCGGGGTTAGGGTATGTCATGGAGCTTGGAGATGAAACTGATGTATTTCAACTGAGACATGTAATGTCTAAATCCGGTGTCCGGTGTTGACAATACAACATATCAAGTGCATGACTTCAAAAGCGGCGGCATAGTGAATTTGAGGGAAAAGACTTGTTCTTGCAGATATTCGCAACTAACTGGTTTGCCATGTGGTCATGTGATAATGGTTTTAACGCACTTGAAAAATGATCATTGTGGCCATATGGCTATAGATGCTTATAAAATTGAAACATATCGAAGAACGTACGAGCAGGCCGTATACCCTCTTTCAGAACTTAGTGATTAGGAGGTTCCGGATGACCTTATGGTTGTTAACCCTCCTGTGATGGAAATACATCAAGCCGGTAGACCAAAAAACACCAATCGTATTCCATCTCAAGGTGAGGAACCAAAAATAAGAAGGTGTACTAGATGCCATAGCACAACTCATAATACAAGGACGTGTAAGGAAATCGTTCCAAAGAACCAAAGTAAAACTAAAAAACGTACTGGGGCTTCAGGGAGTGGGACAAAAGCAACAGAAGAGGAACAAACGCAAGCGACCGAAAACCAATGGCAGCATGAGCCAGAGAACCAATGGACACAACATACCGAACAACAATGGCAGCAGCATCCAGACAACCAATGGACACAACAGACTGAACATCAATGGCAGCAGGAGCTACATAACCAATGAGCGCAAGAGACCGAATACTAACCGCAAGAAGAGCCACAGAACCAATGGCAGGGTTGCACCGAGTACCAATGGCAGCAAGAGCCAGATAACCAATGGACGCAAGAGACAGTAAACCTAGGGACACAACCAACAGATAACCCATGGACGGAATACGAAAACAGATCAAAGTTTCTGTGGTTCGATTTGAATGAATGAAGTTTATTTCAAAATATGTTTATTATGAGGGTTGTATGTGTATGTTTTTTAAGGTATGTTTTGTAACCTATAAAAAACATGGAATATTTATATAATTTTAATTAGGTTATTTATATGCACCGGTTTGTATTACGTTATTTATATGTATTTGGTTTGTATTAGTGTATTTTAAAAAGAAATTAATATTAATAAACTAAAATTAACGCAAAAAAAACGAAAAAAAAACCTTTTTTGTCAAATTTTTTACATAATGTATTAGTGTATTTAAAAAAATTTAATATTAATAAACTAAAATTAACACAAAAAAATGAAAAAAACTAAAAAAACAACATTCCGCAGAGGTGTAGCAATTCCGCAGAGGGCTTAATAGATCCGCAGAGGGTGCTCTGCGGATCCTTTGGTCATTTTCTGAAATGTGTTTTTTCCTTGGTTATTTTCTTCAAACCACCTATTGTTTTTGGTTATTATCCGAATTTTCTCAACATTATATCCATTTTTCTTTCTTTCTTGTAGTTGCATGTAGCGATTGGTGATCATTCACAAATTATGAAAAAAAAAACCTTACTTTTTGAATATTGTATGCAATTTTGGGACCAAAAACATTATAATTATAAAATGAGAAAGATCAATTTTCTCTATAAGCAATATAATTAGCAAGAGCAATTAAAGGAGCTGCCTTTAGTTGATCGAACTCTAACAACTGTTCTTGAGCCTCCTTGTTCAATTTCTCTGCAAATTCTCTTGATTTTTCAATCCCCAACAATTTTGGATATGTAGTCTTATCTGCCACCAAATCTTTTCCGGCGGTTTTGCCCAATTCCTCCGACGACTTTGTGACATCAAGAATATCATCCACCACCTGAAACAAAAGCCCGATTGATCTCGCAAATTTTCTTAATTTTTCAATTTCTTCATCAGATCCGCCACCCATAATGGCACCGAGGACGACGGAGCCTTCAAGCAAAGCCGCCGTCTTGTGTAAATGGATAAACTCTAAATGGTCTAATCCGACATCGGCGCCTTCGGAACAGATATCAACAACCTGACCGGCGACAAGACCTTCTGAGCCAATACACTTCGCGAGTTCGCCGATGGCCCGGAGAATCCGGTCGGAGGAGACGCCTTCTGTCGCCGTAGCGATGTGTTCGAATGAGAATGAAAGTAAGGCGTCGCCGGCGAGGACGGCGACGTCCTCACCGTATACTATGTGATTGGTGGGCTTTCCCCGGCGGAAGTCGTCGTTATCCATGCAGGGTAAGTCGTCGTGCATTAGCGACATGGTGTGAATCATCTCGACAGCGCAGGCAGCAGGCATAGCCGTTAACGGGTCGCCTCCGACGAGTTCGCAGGCGGCGATACACAGCATCGGTCGGACGCGTTTTCCGCCGGCGAGAAGGGAGTACCGCATAGATTCGTGGATCTTTTCCGGGTGTTTGAGTGGAACGGCGGAATCTAGGGCTTGATTTACCGAATTAGCTTTTTCCAACATGAAAGACTTGAAATCAAACGCCAATTTCAAATGGGTTTCTCCGATTTTGTTTTCCGGCAGGTTTGATTGCTGTTCCTTGGCCAAAATTGCAGAAACAGAAGAGAATGAAGATGAAGAAACGGGTCGAAACATTCGGGTCTCGCAGTGCAACGTTGTAGATCTGGTTCTAATGGGTGCTCCATAGAACAAAGTTGTTGTATTTAAAAGAAGACTCATTTTTGCAGAAAGTGATTGCTTAAAGAGTGCAAAAATGGAGGAAATTAGAGGGTTTTAATTGGTGGTTTCGTGGTGCAATAAAATTGTGGGGGGAGATACAATGCTAAAGAAACAAGAAAACTTATCGTTGTGTTGTGGAATCTTACGGCTCATTCAATGCATATACCACCTACTATAATTTTCTGCATCTACAATTTTATATTTATATTATATTAATATTATTGAACACATTTAGAAAATTATTCTAATATTAATATGTTGGTTACAACAATAACGTGATTGGATTTATATTAGAAATTACTAAATCATCCTTATGATTTGCCAAAATTTCATGTATGGTCTCTACGTTTTCTTTTGTATTCGGACATTCCCCATGTTTTGAATTTGTTACGGTGTCAGTCTCTGCCTAATATAAAATGACTATAATGTCTTTTGTAACGTCTGTTTCAGGTATCATTTAATTTTCAAGTTTTTAGGGTTTTGCATTGGGACTCGACGAGTTGGGGAGCCCCAACTCGACGAGTAGACACTGTAAAGGAAAACCCTAATTTTCAGGGGTTTGTACCTTATTTAAGGAACTTATGGATCATTTGTGGCCTCCCTCATCGTCCTAACTGTCCAGAGAGAAACCCTAGCCGCGTTTTAGTATTTCTTGAGTGTGTGTGAGCATTGGAGAGTGAATCTTGTGCTTTTTGGAAGGAAACTTGAAGATTGAAGAGATTGAAGTGAGGAGAAGGCCATAGATCCAACATCTACTCTGTTAAGGCAACCATCTTGAGGTATAAAGTTGTTACCTTGATCCTTATTTGCTTAGATCTCATCTTATGGAAGTATATTGTCACTTTTGGTGCATAATTGTGTCAATCTCGGATTTGGACTTGTCATGAGGATATGGTTCCAGATCTAGACACCTCTAGGTCTTCATGGACATAAAGTTGCTCCCTTTATCTAGTCTAAGCCCTTTTCTATGCCCTAAAACTTGTATGAACCTTAGTTTTAGTGTTTTAGCCTTTTGAGGCCTTGCATGCACGTAAAGTTTGCAACTTTACGTGGTATTTCAGTCTTAAGGGACTGGATCTGTAGTTTGGAGGTTTGGATTCGACTGGAAGGACTAATTATGTTAAGACAAGGGAAAACTCGACGATTTGCCACGGCAACTTGGCGAGTTGGAGCGGGTTTTTCCCATTTTCGGTCTGTAGAGTAAACTCGGCGAGTTGATAAGATAACTCGACGAGTTGGATCGGGTTTTTCCCGTTTTCGGTCTGACGAGTAACTCGGCGAGTTGATGAGATAACTTGGCGAGTTGGTTAGGGTTTTCCCCAGTTTTCTGAACACTGAAGGAACTCGACGAGTTGCTAGATGCACTCGACGAGTTGGGTCAACATGGACTGTTGACCTTGACTTTGACCATGGTTGACCAAGTTTGACTTTGAGGATATTATTGGTATGCTTGGATTTTGACAAAGTAGTCATATGATGATTGTAGGCAGTTGAGTTGGAGTTGCGCGTTGGGACGTATCTGATCTTATCTTATCAGTTCAATATTTTTGAGAGGTGAGTCTCCTCACCATACCAATGGGTCTAAGGCACCAAGGCCGGCCCATTTTATGATATGTGGTACACTAGTTGATGTAATTTTATGTGCCATGTTAGTTGGTTATTGTTGGATTTGGTGTCTAAGCCCATAACTATAAATGGTATGTACTTAACCCGATTGTATCATGGTCCTTTTGGGTTGCCTTCACCAGTGCAATTTGATAGGATGGATTTTGAGAATAAGGTTATTTAT